TCAGAGTCCACTTGGTGCACATCCCCATAACACATGCAGTCAAGAGTGAAAATGTTTGCAATATTGTCAAAATTACCAAAATGTGACTCAGAGACACACAGTGAGGACAGGCTGTTGGGAAGATGGTGCCTGTAGATTTGTGTGCTGCGGGGTCGCCACAGAACTTTGTGGAGAACGTCTGGAAGCGCAGTGAAGGGAAGTGTGGTAAAGGCGGTGTGCTGGGCTGGGCTCACGCTCCTGTCTCCTAGTGCAGTCCAGGTGCTTGGCCGAAGGCAGGGGTGCGGCTGGCCTCACTGGTGCGGGATGTGGGCCGATGCTGTGAACAGGGCCAGCTGTCTGCTGCTTCCTCCCAAAGCCCCTTGTCAGTCATCCTCAGGGCACCTCTTCCCGGCCATTTCTTATTTTTGTGCCCAGATGACACTGGAATGTATCTTGAGCTTAAGGTTAAAGAACAAAAGCTCATTCCCTGGTCTCCTTTTCTTGTTCTCTGGGAGTTCGGTGCTGTCCCCCAAGGCAGCGAGGATGCTTTCTAATTCCCGGAGCTTCTCTAGTCTCGGTGTCGTCTGTTTCGGCACATGGACTTGAACTTCCACAGCAGGTCCTCCTTCCCACACGTCCCATCTCCTCGTGGCTGTGCTCTTTCCTCTGGTGCAGGCCACATCATTCCAAATGTGAACACCGGCAACTTTTAAGGAAAGCCTTGAAGATGATTCCTTTACAGAGCACCTTGACGAAGCGTCTGTCTAGAGCAGTCATTCTCAACCTTCCTAATGCCGCGGACTTTTAATACAGTTCCTGTGGGTCGCGACCCACAGGTTGAGAACCACTGGTGTAGAGCATCTGGGCTACCCATGGGGGGAGTGGGCCTTGGAGGCAGCCAGGACGCCTTTCCCTGTGCAGAGCGCCCCAGGCCCTGATTGCACCTCAGAGGTGTTCTCCTTCCCCCTACCTGCCAGGATCACTCCCCTCTGCTGTGCAGAGCTGGCTAGGGCCCCGGCTTTCAGAGCTTCCAGGCGGGGAGCCAGGCCCCGGGGAGAGTGGCCACAACTTCAAATGTCCCTGTCCCTGGTTCCTCATGTTTAGGGAGGTGGAAGATGCAAAAGAGGAGCAAATTACTCCGGCTCTTTAATTTTTTGTTTCTTCATCAATATGGGATAGTGATAATAGAAATAACAAAAATACCTGCTTTACACTTCAATGAGATGGCAGGTAGTGTGAGGCCTAGCGCTGCAGCAAGGTCAGA